TTACAGTAGATTAGTAGTAGTCTGCTTCGTTTCTACAAAGAAAATCCGATTTTCTTGGATTACCGCTGCACGGTCGGTAGAAGCGGTGGTGAGTGTTCATTTACGTAGCGCTTTCATACATATKTAGGTATGTGTGTGCTGATTTGATCTATGGGTTTGCCTCGGTTACTAATTTAGGTTTTGTCCATCCCCGAAATGTTAGTGTATTAGTGAACCTATCAGCAGTTTTTAGTTATACCAGAGAATGTTAAAGAATACAGAAAGCGCAATTGTTAAATCAAATCTTTTTGAGTACCAAAGTRTTGAACACAATAAAGACGGCGGACGACAAGGAGCATCTGTCAAATATTAAAATACATACATATGTGCTCATTAGTCCAGTCAAAATTCTAGTTTGCATTAATTCCCAACAAACTGGATTTTTTGGATCCTTCATTACAAATTACATGTCAAAAGTCCTCAGCGATCCCACTTGTGCGTTGTTCTTTATTCGAGGTCAAAATTTGCGTTTTTTGAGTATATCTCTGAAACAATGAGAGATATGGTTCAAACAAAATTTGTGGATCGTATAATTGTCTACACAAAAGATCTCGGCTTTTCCTTCTACAAAGCATCGCTTTCGAGATATCGTGACTTTAGACCGCAGGAAAGTCGTATTTGCGACTATATACACGGCGCTTTTTTTTAACGTAGTTTCCCTAGTAGGAATWCTCCACAATATACTTTGATCAAAAGAATGTAATCGGACACTATTTTATTGAAGAAATTCTATTTTATATTTAAATTTAAACATAAACATTTAAACATTTAAATGTAACAGCAAGAAAATTGCATCATCACATATCATCAAATTCTTCATAGTCACTCGTTTCTTCCTTTTCATTGTCTTCTTCCTCTTGCTCGATTTGTATYGACTGCTCCAAGAAGAGAGATATATCAGTTATATCCTCATCAATTTCGATTCAATGTTCCTGCAAGATTGGCYTTGACAATTGTTACATACCGATGAACAATACAATCCAACTTTTCTGCACCTGCAATTGTTTGTGCATACTTTTTTCCAATTACAAATTAAGTAATTTTTCTGGAGCAGGTGCCAGTAAAGTCTGGATTGGTTCTTAGCTATTATTCATCAGTTTCCAGCCCCAATCTTCAGGATTTAGATCATTGCCTAGCCACACTTGCACTTKGTARAACACACGAAACAAGTGTTGATAAGCAGAAGCAGATGTTGGAGAAAGACAAGATAACTGCACACTCTTATTGTTTCTTGTATTTTTCGCGTAACTCAAATATCTATACTTGTCTATCGATTTCATTTTTTTGGAGCTTCATACATAGCAAGAAGAACATGAATTCCATTGGTGTGGATAACATCTGCTGACGAGTTAATATTTGTAAATACTTTTGCGTTATCAATCAAGTCTTCACGTTTTTTAAACAATTTGAATACTATATTTTTGCCTCTTTCGCTTATGTATCGCAGCCAGTTATCGCATGAAGGAATAATAAATTAGGCTGCCATTTTGGATATGCAGTTAAGCTTTGTTGAAAATATATTTTTGTTTGAACTTAAGCTCTCCCAGGTTTTAAAAAGTAAATGGTCTTATCACTAGGTGTTCGTGCAGTTAATCAGTGTCATTTGAAGCTTGTTTCACAACAATATTGGCAGCTGCAAATTCTTCACATAACATCTTAATCAAACGAGATTATTGTGAGTATTAGCAAGAAACTGCTTTTGGTTTGTCAGAACAGTCATTGATCGATCAAAAACGATATCCGACGATGAAGATGTTACTTAGCTCGACGACATTGTTCTGCAGCTTTGATATTTTTTGTATAATTAGTGCAACCGTCAAATATTATAGTAACATTGTCACCAAAGTGTCTACGAACATACTGAAGATACTTCTCTAAAATATCCTCAAATGTGTTCTCATACAACACCATGTAGTAGGTATCCTCCATCGATGATGTTGGTAGCATTTGTACTTTCGTGGGATGTATCAACATTGATATACATTCATCGCAACCATATATGACTGACTTCTGTGTCTTACACAATCGAATTGCGTTAAAGAGCGATAAATAGTAAGGGGTAATTCGTACTCGAAGAATTATTCAAGCTCGTCTTCAAATGTCTTCGTAATACTCACGTGTTGAAATAATAATAAAGGATCTATTGGGGCCTTCTAATCATTAATCTTCATGGTACTGTACACAGATAATAGAGGAGAGAATGTTTAAAATAGCCATAATTCGAGAAAAGTGCACCGTAAATTCTCATTATTTAAAAGATATACGCAAAAAAACGCAAATTTGTGACCTGTGGCCTTGAATGTGAAATGTAGAATTAGTCAAAACACTAATAACATTATTTTWCCAACAGAAGCATAAAATTGCTTTGATTTATCATTTTAATAACAATTGATCATTTAAAACAAATTAATTGATCTATTTAGTTACACTTTGCACAAGAATTTCTCTTTGAACAAAAWATTTAAGTTTTATTCAAGCGAAAACTGTGAGTAAGAAACCAAATCAGTTCTTTGAAATGTCGCTGATGTCTTCAAAATATTCAAGAATCATTCAAGAAAGTTTTGCTGTCCTGTCGTGTCGACCGTTCATCTGTGTGTTTAAAACAAAATTTGCTGTTGAGAGAACTTCAGAGAAATACGCCACGCAATGTGTGAAACGACGGAAACAAATGTTTGTCCGACGCGTGGGAACAATAATAAAACAAAGCTTTAAGCGGCTGCGTTCCTATTTTTAAATTATATTTTCCTTTTTATTTTATTAGCGGCTAGATTACAGCTCTGTTACTTTAATAGCATGTATTACTTACTCAGATAACAAAAATATTTCAAAAAAAAAAAAAAAAAAAATTTGCTCATACTATATGTTTATTAAATGAAGAATATATTAATGCATATGAAGACAAATATGACAAGCACACGAACATTCTTAAATACACGTATGCTAATGCTTTCTTCT